AAATTTGACAAAATGTAAAAAAATATTTTTTTATAAAATTTGGTTAAACAAAAGTTGTTTATAATATAATTCTCTATAATTTTTGTTCTATACATAATTTCTCTAAAATGGACCGTATTCGAGATATTTGAGAAAATGTGTAAATTTCGAAATTTTAAGAAAACTCAAAAACGGATAAAGAAAAAACATTAAATTTTAAACTTAAGTTTAATTTCGGCCTGACGTGAAATGATTAGATTTTGGACAAAGTCGGAACATCTGGGGGGGTACTTTATGGGAGGCCGTTTTTATATTTTATGGAATATATCTGTTATTAATGTTTGGAGAAAAAAATTGTTCAAATAAAAGTTACTTCCAATATTATTATCTATAATTTTTGTTTTATGTAAAATTTCCTGAAATGGTCCGTATTCGAGAAATTTGACAAAATGTGCGATATCGATCTCTATAATTTTTGTTTATACATGATTTTTCTAAAATGGACCGTGATGAAAAAATTGTAGGAAATTTCAATTTTTCAGTATTTTCGTTTTCAATGAATATCTATAGAAAAATCTGATGTGTCCAACACATGACTTTCCTATCTAGTTTTTATAGGCTTTTTCCGGTTATTTTGTACAACCTATTGCAGCATCTCTATAAATGTTTAGAGGATAAACTAAATATATACATTGTCCATATACATCTACCTCGAAACATTTTTCTATAGATATTCATTGAAAACGAAAACTGAAAAATTTAAATTTAGCACTTTTCCATTACGGTCTATTTTAGAAAAATCATGTATAAACAAAAATTATAGAGATCGATATCGCAAACAACTTTTAGTCCAACAATTTTCATAAAAATCAGAATTTTGCACATTTTGTCAAATTTCTCGAATACGGACCATTTCAGGAAATTTTGACATTTAGCAAAAATTATAGATAATAATATTAGAAGTAACTTTTATTTAAACAATTTTCTTCTCCAAACATAAATAACAGATATATTCCATAAAATATAAAAACAGCCTCCCATAAAGTACCCCCCCAGATGTTCCGACTTTATCCAAAATCTAATCATTTTATGTCAGGCCGAAATAAACCTTAAGTTTAAAATTTAATGTTTTTTCTTTATCCGTTTTTGAGTTTTCTTCAAAGTTCGAAATTTACACATTTTCTCAAATATCTCGAATACGGTCCATTTTAAAGAAATTATGTTTGACATAAAAATTATAGATTATACATTACAAACAAAATTATTTTTTTACATTTTGTCAAATTTCTCGAATACGGACCATTTTAGGAAAATTTTTTATAGAACAAAAATTATAGATAATTATATTAGAAGTAACTTTTATTTGAAGAATTTTCTTCTCCACACGTAAATAACAGATATATTCCATAAAATATAAAAATGACCACCTATAAAGTACCCCCCCAGATGTTCCGACTCTGCCCACAGACATCATCGCGAAAATAGTCAAAACGGATTTAGGGGACCTCAAAACGTAAAAATCCGTCGAAAACTCGAGGTCGAAAAAAATCATGATTCCTATACTTTCCTTATATCTGTATACAGATAGGAAAGTAAAAATGTTTCGAGGTAGATGTATATGGACAATGTATATTTAGTTTATTCTCTAAACATTTATAGAGATGCTGCAATAGGTTATACAAAATAACCGGAAAAAGCCTATAATAACTAGATAGGAAAGTCATGTGTTGGACACATTAGATTTTTATCATTAATAATAACTAACTGCACTGAAGAACGTTCATTTTCTAAATTGGTCAGAATCGAAAACGAACTGAGGAGTACCATGCTGCAAGAGAGACTAAACAGTCTATCGTTAATGTGAATAGAAAATGAGATATTACTAGGTATAAATTTTGATGATATAATAGACGATTTTGCACGCCTAGGATCAAGAAAAGAATCATTTACATCGCGCGGATTATTTACAGTTATTAATCTTAATGTTTTAAGACGAGATTTCATCTTTGTATTTTAGTTAGAAGAGATTAAGTTTTATTTTTAAATAAATGTTTTGAAGACTATATGTAAAATAAATATATACACTAATTGTAAATAATAATTTTAAGTTGTTTTAATTTTGGAGGGGCCCCATTTCCGCCATGGGCCCAGGGCCCCAATAATATGAAAGACGGCAGTGACTTCGTACGTAATGGGTTACTTACAACTCTTGTTTCGTAATATACTATTAAATTTTGTCTAATGTCTTATTAATATTTATCGATACCTTTACAGTCGTTCAAAATATGAATTTTTATTTTTGCCACTTTTGGCCAGAAAATAGGTGAAACTCCTCAGAATATTTTTACCATGTAACTTTAGATGTTTCATTCTTTTTATTTAGTAAACTACATTTAGTAAAAATATATAATTTAAATTGTAAAAAGTAGGAACCATTTACTTTAACAAATAATAAGCCAAATTAGAACAATTTTTAATTTATTGTTTACCTCGTATATTAATTACTCGTAACATAATGCCACACCCTCAGATATAGCCCTACGAGACCCATACGTAGAATATTATTTCAAAACGAATGAAAAGCCTAATAAAATAATCCCAACTAGAAGGTACAAATTAATATACGTATACACACAAAGTACCCATCCCAAAATAATCTTAGAAAACATTAAAAAGAAAAAAGCCATCAACACACATGCGTAACTCAACAATTATTTTAAGAAATAAACTCCCTATTCCATATCATCAACGACGTACGATCAGAGCTGAACCTTTAATCCCTATACCCGTATATTTTAAATATTACGTCGGTGATGAGTGCTTATAATTTAACTTTGGTGTCGGGTGCATCTTGAAAACCATTTGGTCTCCAGTTTCAAACCCACACATATTACCGCCATGTTGCTTTTTATTTAAATATTAATTAATAAAAGTGTCTGTTTAAATAATAAGTTCGATATAAGTACGTAGTATCTGACGATACTGTTAAAAACAGTGTTGATAACTCTAAAATTATTAATATTAAGTGTATCTATAATAAGCGTGAGCGCGAATAACTAATATTTCTGTGAGAATCCAGATTTAATTGCATGTTGTGCATCTTAGTATGAAAATAGGGTGGTAATTTTTTTTTAATGCTAGTTGCTAATTTAGATTCATTCTATTTTCGATTGCAATCTGCAATGCATGAGTCACACAGTTTGCTTTGTACACAAATGTCTGTTTATTTTTTTATTTAGGTAGATAGGTATAGGTACCTATTTATACGTTTAAAAAAAGTTCAACACCTTAATCTCTAGGTAGATAAATACGAATGGTGTACAGATGCATTTATAATACGGATATTTTCAAAAAAAGTGTACAGAATTGGCAAAATTAAAAATATTCAACGTTTGTGCAGAAGATATTTTAAAAATTATAAATTTTAGTTTTGAAAAGTATAAGCAGTAAGCAAAATAATATTTCACCTAAATTTGTCTTTCCTCCCTTTTATTTGTTTCTTTCCACCACCTTTTTCATTTTGTTCGTCTTCTCCCCTTTTTCCTTTTGTTGTCTTCTCTCAATCTTATTTTTCCTTCTTATTTGCTTCTCCTCCTGTTTTCCCTGTTTTTTTGCTTTTCATTTTTCCCTTCCGAATCTTCTCTGTGTTTATGTTCTCAAAAGTATACAAAATGAAGAAATAAATAAATTAAATTAATTTAAAAATATAATTTTGTTAAAAAATCATGAGAAAAATAACATATTCTTTTTGATTTGTTTACTTATTATTTGCCTATTTTTCCTTTATTCGTTTTGTTTGCTTTTCAATCTCTTCTTTAGATTATTTTTTGCTTTTCTTTAATTTCTCCTTTTTGGTTTGTTTCCCTCCTTCTCTTCTCTCTTCCATTTCTTTCTTTTATTTAATTATTTCCTTTTATATTTTCAATCTCTTATTTCTTTCGATTATTTTTTTGCATCTAGTTAATTTTTTCTTTTGGTTTGCTTCCTTTTTTCTGTTATATCTTCCATTTCTTTCTTCTGTTTGATTCTCATTTTCTTCTGTATTTCCTTTCTTTCTTCATTTTATTTATCTTTTGCATGTGTACTAATATTTATCCTTTTTGAAGATTCGTAATTTTTTTCCATTTGAATTAGTGCTTTTATATTTATTAAGTTCTAGGCCTTAATAATCAGTAAGCAAAATAATATTTCACGTATTAAATTTGTCACTTTCTTTTTTGTATTTGTTTCCACCAACTGTTTCTTTTCTTTATTTAGTCCTTATATTTGTTTCTTCGCCCGTTTGCTCGTCTCCTTTTTACTTGCTTCTCCATCTTTTTTCTCTTTCTACTTTTTTTCTTCTTCGTTTGTTTTCTTTCTTTTGTTTCTTCTCTGTGTTTGAATTTTCAAAAATGTATAAAATAAATAAACAATTAATGTCAAATGAAGAAATAAATTTAAAAATTAAAATTTTGTTAAAAAATCAGTAAGAAAAATAACGTTTCACAGATTTTTTTCGTTTTTGTTTTTATTCGTTTACTTTATTTGCTTCTTTTTCCTTTATTCATTTTGTTTGCTTTTTAATAGCTTATTTCTTTAGATAATTTTTTTTGCTTCTCATAATTTCTTCTTTTTGGTTTGTTCTCCTCTTTCTTTTCTTCCATATTCAGTTCCTTTCTTCTTTTCTTTATTTTATTTGTTTTTCATACTTTCTTTCATATCACTTTTAAATATTCGTTAATTCTTCCATTTTTTTTATTGCATTTATTTATTTTTTTCTTGAACGTCCTTAATGTTATAATATTAGTATGCAAAATCACACGTACGTATTAGGTTTTTCTTTTACCATCTTTTCCTGGTCTTCATTTTGTTCACTTTTCTTCTTATTATTTTTTCCTTTTCATTGTTTCTCTTCCTGTTTTTAGTGGTTTTCTTTTCTTATTCTTACTTACTTGCGTTTCTTCTCTTTCTACTTTGAGAATGATTTTGTTTTGCCTCTGTTTAATTCAATATATATAAAATTTGTCCCATGTACGACAATAGTTTTTTTTTATTGATTAGTTCTCTGCTAATTTTTATTCTTAGAATGTTAGAAATGTTTATTTTTAAACAATTGCACTTTCGCTTGAAATTAATGAATAATATTGCCTAAATGTTTATTAATAATAAAAATTACCTATAATTATTATTAAAAAGGATGTTCTCTAAGTGTTCGCGACTATAAAACTATTGACATAAAATCGGGCGTAAGTTAATCGCTACTTAAAAAAAAATGAAAGGACGCAATGTCCTACAATGACCAAGTGTAACAAAGACATGCTCATCGTACTCTTGTGTTGTATCATGAAAATAGTGGAGTTCTCGTCGGGTAAATCTCCCAATTGTGGAGTCCCAAGCGACAGAAGGAGGAAGAGGTTTATGAGACGCCAGAAAGGTAAGATTTTCCGTTTTGTTTTCAAATAATATTGAGGCATCACAAATTCTGTATTTCATGGTCCGTGGAAGTTGGGCAGTATCTACTATAGATGAAATGTGCTTATAAACCAGAGCTACATCACTAACAATTTCTAAATCTCGAAAAAAAAGTGAAGATTAGATCTATCTATGGAAACTTGCGTGTGGCTGAGTTTAACGACGAATTACGAGTTTTCAAAAAAAAAGTTAGAATTGATAGGGTTAATTATTTGATAATAAAGTCGACTAAACAAATTTTCAATTAAATTTTAATTGATTGTGCTGTGAGTGGATGTCAAAAAAGCAAAGTTGGCCAAACGAAAAAATGACTCCATCCAACTTTACTTTTTTGAAATCTACAGTGACTCACAGCCCAAGAACCAATCAATTCTCACAAATTTTATTTAGAAAACGACCCATTCGGAGTGGTAAAAAGAAATATAGTATATTTCCTTGTGTTGTAGGTATTTATTTAAATTTAAATATATAAATTTATACACTATTAATTATTATTGTTACAACCGTCGTAATATAATTAAAATTAAACACTTATAACGTAATGTAATTTCTACAATGGTAATTACAAAAAAAATATAATTTTAATGAGAGGGATGTACTTGATGGATTGACAGCAAATTATCAATATTTGGCTTGAGTTTTGTAAGGAATAACCGTAAATATCCCCTTTCTGTGATATTCAATCTGCCCTTTTTTTGTTAATAAGTTTGTAACGGCACTTAAACTATTTTCAAATATGACGAGGCAAACGCTATCAGAAGCTTTTGCACAATTCCCACAGTCCAGGATATTTTTCGGGTATTTCTGCCTGCAGCCAAAATTTTTGATACCCTCTTTTAAATGTCACTTTCAGCTGTTGTAATATTACATTCTCCACTTGCGTTTCATCAAATGGATTTATGATCCATGGTGGTATTTCCATCGACATAATATCTTCAAATCTAATTTTAAAATCATCATGCAGGGCAATCAAATGTTGAAAGTATGTCTGAATATCTTCATCAAGGCATTCTACCTGCGACAAGTTTGAAAACTGTGAAAATTCGCGCCGACCAATATTTTCCTTTATAAATTTCAATTTACCAAGAAAAGCTGAAATTACACTCTTTATTTTTATTAAATCGAGGCTGCCCCCTTGTAATTATAAGTTGAATCAAATACTGCTTTAAAATTGATCAGTTTTTTTTTTAAATCAGGATCTTTACTTTCCAAAAACTCTAAAACTGAGTCAAAAAGCAAATAAAATATTGATAAACATGGATCTTTTGACAACCAGCGTACTTCGGTATGTAACAGCAATCGTTGGAAGTCTTCATCATTTTCATCGCACAATTGTGCAAATAAACGCGTATTCAATGCATTGCTTCTTATTTTGTTAACTGCATTAATCACAAATTAAAGCGATTGGTGCAATCTATCACTCAAATACCTCTGGTATAATTCTTTTAAGATGGCTTATAAGCCCACGATATCGCCCGGCCATGGCAGGAGCTCCATCTATTGCCACCGAAATAACGTTTGGGAATGGAATCGATTTTTTATTAAAAAAAATCACTCAAAACATTAAATATTAATTCACCTTTAGTGTCCGTCTTTAAAGTTTTCGCGAATAGTAGCTCTTCATGAATTTCTTCGCCAATAACAAATCGAACATATGCCAATAATAATGCTTCATTGCCAGGTAAAGTTGACTTGTCCAGTTGAATAGAAAAATGAGTTCGTAGATTATCACACAAAAAACTTTCAACATCAGAGTTCATTTCATCAATACGTTTTTGTACAGTGTTGTTACTCAAAGGAATTCTTTTGAGTATGTCAAATGAAGATTTGTGCAGAACAGTTTTTAAAACCTCTTCAACAGCAGGTAAAATTTACTGTTCTTCAATGGTGTGCGGTTTTCCAGATTTTGCGATAAGTAATGAGATATTGTAAGATACCCGCAAGCCATCATCGTTGCTTTCAGACGTTAAAGAGAACATACTGTGCACGGTGGGTCTCTTTCTATGGTCTCTTTCCATATGTTTCCTTTAATGTTTGGAAATATTTTAAATCTTTACCTATTTTACCAGGATGACACCTTCTTAGATGATCTTCCAGCTTTGATGGTTTCATAGAATCATTGCTCAAAACTTTGTTGCATAAAAGGCATGTGTGCAATCGTTTTTCTGCCTTTGATGGAAGAAAACCAAATTTTTAATATTCAACACTGTACTGACGACACTTTTTCTTAGATTCGGTTATGTTTTGTATTAATTACCTACCTGTAAATGTGTAAGTAAATAAATAAAAACTTTGTTTTAGTAATCTTAAGGCGATTCGAACAGGATATTATAAATATTATGAAATAAACAAAGTTCCGGCTGCAAACTGTTTCTAATTATTAAAAGCAATAAATCGCTAAGATCCATAATAGAGTTTTATGAAAACGCTTGAACTTATTTTAATGTGATATAAAATTATTATTTCATTTATTATATTTTAATATATTTCTGTAAATTCTATAGAAACCTTTAAACAATATTTGGATATCAAAACTCCGCAATAATTAAATGAATTAGATAGGTAATAAAAATAAAGTAGGGACGATAAGTTCAATCTTTCTCGGCTTAAAACTAACAAATAGGCAGGTAGGTACTTACTTTTCCAACACTGGCAATCACTAATATCAGAGACAATCCAGCGAGACGTGTAACTCAATGTATTTTTTTTGTTCGGTAAAAGTTATTTGGGCGATTGTAACCACAACCAGTCTATGATGGCGCCACTAGTAAATAGCGGGAAAATTAAAAATGCTTTAGGGCGGGAAATTCAAACATGGATTCAGAAATAAAGTTTTTCTATACAAATTTACAGGAGAAACAAAAACTATTGTTTCACTGTATATTAAAAAAATATAAAAGCTTCCAATAACATCAAATTTTTTATCACATAAATAATCATTTTAATAAAGGAAGTTTTAATCAGTTTAATATAAACAGTGAACATAGTTTTTATTACTCTTGTAAATTTTGCTAAAAAAAAACTTGAAAATTCTATTGATTATTAAATATTTAAACTTGGAAAAATAATACACCGAACTCTTTTTCTATAAATTATATTTTTGTAAGGTACAGAAAAACAAACTACAATTGCTTCGTCTAGAAAGTACCTCCTATCATTTTGTGACAAATTACAAAGAAAGTAACAGTTGTTATATATTCATAATATATTTAAAAACTAATGTAACAAATATTTTATAAAGTATAGTATCGATACCTTTTTGCCAGACTATCATAAGTGCCATTTGAACAAATGTCACTTATGTTAGTCTGGCAAAAAGGTATGGACATGTTATGACTGTTTATTTTAATAGAAACCATGGAAACGAAACACACATACACTCAACACAAATGTATAAGGCCCAAGTCAAGTAAGTTCCCATCCTGTAAACTGGATCGAAACCTGCTAGACCCCTGCTAACTCCTCTTATAGTAATCAAGATCAATATATTTATATGCCATGCCTTCTAAAAGGGAATGAAGGATGACCTACTATCATCATTTAAACAGGACGTTGCTGAAGGCTTACCCCTGTTATTTCGTTTGTTTGTGTATCTTATGTGTGTGCATTCCTGTTGTGTCCCCAGTCATGTAAAAGTTTTCCTAGTCTCCTAATTTGTTACTAGGTGGACCTTCTCCAACTAGTAGTCTAATCTATTCGATCTGTTCGGAAGCAGGAGGTACTTTTCAAACATAGTAAATAATATTATTAATATTAAACACTATTTAAAGATAAATACATTTTTGTATTTTTTTTGTCATTGCCCCTTACCTTTCTCTTACAATGTTCGAATGAATATAACATTTTACTCATGTTTAACTCTTTTTCAATTTCATTTGAAACAATAATTGGTACCTATATTACAATTTATTATCAAAGACAATTTCTAATAAAGTTATAGCAAATCCTACTTAAACTACTGGTTGTTCTGCAGGATAAATTAACTTTTCTTGAGATTGATCTCTCTATAAAATCCAAAACCGACCTGATGTCCCCAAATTTATTTTCCAATGCATCCTGATTTAAAATTCAGCCCTTTTGTGATTCAATTTTTTTTTCTTCCTTTAGAGTGGCTGTTAGAGGTAGGTGTATGTAAGAAATAGCTAATCTCTAATCATTTCAAAAGTCCTTTGCCAATACTACATGTGCAGATTTTTTACTCAGCATACATTTTACTTTTCTAGTAGATAGGAACTTTGTGCTGCCATTAAAGCTGTCCAGACATTCATCTACCTACTTAATGAACACAAGTAGCTGTAACAATGGATCTCTGTTCCAATTCACCTAAAATAATTATAGTCATTGTGTAATATATTATTAAACACACACATTATACAGTGGTTTTCTTAATAAATTGGAAATTACTTACCTCTAGAAAGAAATGTGTACAAAAACGCGAGTTTGGTTCCAGAAATTGCTTCATGCAAAAAATAATATGCAAAAATAAACATTCCCCCCCAAAGAAAATTAATTAAACAACAAAATCAGACTAAAAGAAATATACGGGGCCCAAATTAAATTAATTTTAATAAAATGCACATGTTCATAACAACATTCATAACATTGTCAGTTGTCAGTTTTAATACTTTTAATCGATATTTCTACGTCAAAAAACCAGCAACACCAGCGCCCTCTGAAAATGGTGTTAGTTTTATTGGAGAGAGATAGACATATGTAAAGATCAATGTAAAAGAAAAAGAGGGTCATATATGTAATTTAAATGGACCACCGAACATATTTTCCTATTAAGTTACACGTCTCTGTTGTCTCTGCTAATATCGATTCACTTTTCTTTATGAAATTCCAGAAACAAATGAGTAACGATTATCCTTGACATTCGTATTTATATTGGTGAATAATCATACACGTTCATGCAAGATTGCAAGCACATACACCACAAGTCGTATTAATTTGCACGTCTGA